TGGTCTATCCATGGCTGACTTTGGTCTATCCATGGCTGATGGCGGTAACGTGGGCCAGCATTTATCACACTCGCCGCTTGTTGCAGAGGTTCACGGTTAGACTCCAGCGGCCGCCCTGATGATGGCTGCGGCTACAATAACCATAATATCAAGTGCCGTCTAATTCACAGCGGACGTTACCGATCCCCTGATGTCATTCGTGTGAGCAGGCCATTGTTTTCCAGCATCAGGGACCAAATTTGCAACATTCAAAAAATTAGCGCGCTCAATTTGGATTACACACAGCAGAAATCAGCCCCCCTATTGGCACACTGATGCCTCAGGTCACTTGCAAATGAGACTATCATGGTATCGTGGTTAAACAAAATAACCTTTAAACTTTTTGATTTAAAGCTTTCGGGACTGCAGGGATTCATATTCTTGGTTCTTTCGGTAAAGTCACGTAGAAGGGAAACAATAAAATAATAAAAAATAATTTTTATTATTTTATTGTTTACGTGACTTTACCGAAAGAACCAAGTATATAAACTTTAAACTGTCCACTGGTGAACGGAGGCTCTCCCAAAGTGCCATTACCACCTCTCACAGTCTTCAGTCCATCTCGCTCTTGTACTGGAGCTGCTTTCAATTCCTCCATCTCCACGGTGGATGTGCCTCTTAGGTGTGTCTCCCTCCTTTGCCTAAAGCTGTGGAAGCTACCTTGTTGGTGTTGTTTCTCTTTTGAATGTGTGACCTGGCCAAATACTCACGAAAGCTCTAATTATCCGACGGGCTTTGCGGAGCTTAGCAGAACATGTGCCTTGGAGGCAGTGTCACCCTTTTCCTACAGCTGCAATGGCTCTGGGTAAGTCAACAGAGCTTAGTGAGTATATGTTACATGTGGGTTGAATATGAACCCTGTTGTCAAATTTGATAGCTGTTAAATAAATTGACAATTAAAAAAAAGACCATTCCAACGATACAAAACATTGATAAATATGTGTGTGCTATTTATATGATTGCTATTAAATGTTGGGCACAGACGTGGATGAAGAAAAAAGCAAGTTGTAATTTACATATTTGACAGCAAAATTGGGATAAAGTAATTAATTTTATATAAAATATTAAATAAATGCAGCCCCTTTCCACTGCCCTGCTGAATGAAGGCCTCATTCATGTCATGTATGGAAGTTGCTTGACCATACTTTACAACACTGGTCAGTGAGGGTTGGTGAAAAAGATTGATTCAGATATCACTTGCCACTCATGTTATGCATGGCTGGGAATCGAAATCAGGATTCCGGCTTCAAGACAATTCCCAAACCACTGGGCCACCATATCACCCCTATTTCATTACTTTGATTTTACAGGGGTATTTTTTTTTGGGGGGGGGGGGGCGGATTTTAGGCACAAAATTACAAAACCATATACTACACATTTGAGAGTCTCAACATAAACAACATGAGCGGCAAGGTCAAACAAGCACATACACGCGCCCACATTAAATGCGATTAATTGACTATTTTCAATCCGAGATGCCGCCAGCCTAACAGGCGCTCTCTCAAACATCAAATCAACACCATACGCGACCGCTAAACTGGCAGCTGCGCAAACACGCACCAACGACCGACGGACCAACGGAAGCACGTTGCGGGTAAAACGATGCACAGTAGGACACAACTAAAGGTTGGGAAGAGGAGGAGGAGGACGAAGACGAGGAGGAGGAAGGAGACGAGGACGACGAAGCGAGGAGGGAGAAGGAAAAAAAAACGAGAGGTCAAACGACCTCAGCAACTAACACCGGGCCCCAGGACCAGGCTTCCGTCTCTGGCAGGTTGGCAGCTCCTGACCACAGGTCGGCTCCCCCGGCCTGTCAATCAGCAGGCTCTGCGGGTCACGGGTCGTGCAGGATAACCAGGGCCAATTTTACTTCCCACACTGGGGAAGGCGGCCGCTGAGTGACAGCCTTTCAGAGGTAATTACGGCACGGGGCCTCTAAGCATTACCTTGCTTGCACGCGCTGCAGGGTCGCCAACGGGCAACTCATGCCGTCGCGGGTGCCTTCACTGTGCCAACACGTTCGCAACGGGGCATACCTGGAGCAGAGAACCCTTAGAACCTCTTTCTGATTGAGGGCCAAATAACCAGCGTAAACTTCTAACCGAATGTCTTTCAGCTTCCCGGGGATACTGGAGTACAGGCACGTGCTTAGGAGCTATGGCCCTAGCGCGAGAGGTATACTGGATGTGCAATGCCATGTGCTGAAATAACCATCCAGGTCACGGATCAGCACATACCCGGCTGAAGTCAAGTCCGGGATAAATAGGTTCTTCAAATACCTTTGGTGGACGCTCATTCACAGACACCTTGGCGTTATCCAATAAGAGGAGAAAAAAAATCGGGGATGAACGAAAGGCCTCTCCAAACTGCCACCACTAGCTAAGGTCCTGTACAGATGTAATGCACGAGCCCGATAAGATTATTATCTCCCAATTTGTGAGCGAGTCATTTGTGTTCTATGTCTTAGCTGCATGTCCATCACCAGTCTCGTTATTAAACACACACACACACACAGGTGGCTGTGTTATCAATATAGTGCATTAAGCATATTGTTATGGTATCACAACAGCTTCAAGTGCCTTTCAGTGCTGCACATTTATACAACGAAGACACCTGGTCCTGAAAGGGCCGAGTTCAACCGATTCGATCTGTGAAATGCAAATGTGTCCGCTGAGCTATGCATTAGGGGATGCTTTTCGAGTGCACAAAAGGTGAAAAAAACAACACAACCTTCTTCTAACTTGCCTCGCCGACATCCATGTGCGTACTATCAGAGAAAACCAAACTAACGCAGCGAGGCATTTTGAGATTTTAAGATAGATTCAAAGCATTCAAAAATAAATTCCCATAAAGGTGCGTCCATACAGATTTTGCAAAAGGATGAATTACATTCAAATATATCCATAGTCACACGTATACCTTTAAAGAAGTATGTATGTATGTTGAACTTCATTCGCATGCTAATTGGAGGTGCTAATAAGATGAACCTCATGAACATTATGATCGCACAATAACGCCATGAATATTTGAATTCATCACCAGGCATTATTGAATAACTTCGGCAAATAAATGCCTCTCCCCAAGCTGTCACCATCTTCAATCACGGTCTTGTGAAATAAAAATCCATCGCCCGCGTACGGAACAGCTGATTTCAACGCTACATCTATGCGGTGGACGACCGTGTTGGGCGTGTTCCGTCCTTTGGCTGCCACTCCATCAGTAAACTCGACCCCGGGCCACCATCCCTTAAAGCGACGTGTCCTGCCTAAGTCCACTGATGTACTGATGTAAATTTGTACTTATGTACTTAATTTGTATTTCTATATTTACATTTACTTGGTTACCCTTTCTCTTAGCTTACTTAGCTTAACTCTTCTTCGCTCCCTGTGGAGCATAAGGCCACAACAAGCCCACGCCATGCTGGATGGTCTTTAGCAGCTTTCTCTATATTTTTCACTCTTGTTTTTTGTGTTGTTTGTTATTGTAACGTGCTGACCCCGTGCCCCTACTGTACGTCTCTGAAAAATAACTTCATAGCTCATTGAATTCCTCCTCAAAATAAATATTATTTTTTACTCTTTCCACAAATCTGAATTTCTTTTTAATCCACATTTATCATGAATTTCGTTTCACAAAAAAATCCAAGGGTGCAGGGGAGCCCTTAGCAGTTGAAATTCCATATTCCTGTGGCAGGGACCAGAATCTCCATGGGATGATCACTGATGGCGGTGAACATGCGGTACGAGTCTTGGTCGATTTTATCACCCTTGAAAAAAAAAGTTGTTTCGCTCAATAGACCCTAACCTCTCTCAACAAAACCGAAGTCTTCATACGGTGGAATATGCCACACAGAGGAATCTCATTAATATTCTTGATGGATTGCACGCACCTCTGGGTTTACACGGAATAACCAGGCACCAATATTAAAGAGCGCATGGGCAGAAAACCAGCAGGTAATGTCTGGTGGCAGTGGCGATGTCTTGTGCCACCCCCTATATGTTGCTACGCCCGTAGGGCCCTCCCTCGCGTAAACAATGCAATTGAGCGTTGAGACAACTTTAATGACCCGTAGAGATATCAACATTAGGCAGGTTACGATTCACCATTGCCCTCTCATTACCCAGCTATTTCACGAATCAATAAATTTTGTCTTGATTTTATCATCTCATTTGAATACTTGAAAATGTTCCATATCACTCAAGTAATAATCGCTGCCATTAGCGTAATACAAAATTTACTACAAAAGATTTAGACACTGGCCCCAGCAGACCGAGTTCTCTGAGGGGAGGAACAATCTCGAAAAACTACCCGCTTCTAAATCATTTGTAGTAATTTTTGTATAACTTAAGTACAGATACATATTAATTTTGATTCCTATGTTGTTGTCTTCTGACTTTATGTGAACGAAAAGACACAAATTCGCCCGTTTTCTCATTGAAAATAGGTAAATTTCAAAAGATCACTGTCCTGGTCACAAAAGCAAAGTTTGTGGAGAATAATAGCCATTTTCTATGCTTTTTAGGCATACGCAATTACGAAATAACACTTACTACCCAGGAACAGAAATTGTGTTCCAAAGTGTAATCAAAGGCTTAAGAATCAATATTGATCATTTATACGGCGAATCGTTGCAACGACAGAAAATAAATAAAAATGAAATGACAGGCTATTACTCGGGAATTTTAGTAGTAGCAAGAAGCGGCGTCTAGCTTTCGTTCCAGATCACATGAATAAGCCGTCGAGTTGCGGAGCCCATCAAGATGCTGTTAGGGTGGCGAGTCATCGCAACGACCAATCACTGACGAGCGGAGTCCCACGCAACCGGAAAAAGCAAAGCAGACGGAACTGCACGCATACATACGTGCGACCGAACGAACGTGCCAGGCATTTCCCCGCGAGACGAAACTAATAGAGGAACAAACAGGTTGGGATCGAGGAGGAGGGGGAGGGGGGCTACTCACAGGCAGGTGCGTGAAGACGGCGAAAGTGCTCCTCAGGAAGTTGATGAGGTCCATGAGGTAGTCGCTGGCGTGCCCGTTGGGCTCAGGCAGCATCCAGTCGTAGTCGGCGAGCTGCAGGAACTCGTCGATTTTCTGGTGCAGCTTCGTGTAGATCTCCTCCTCCGCCGTGTGCCGTGCGTCCTGCGCAACACGACATGCCACGGGCCTCCCCGAGTCACCAACAAGCAGACGGGGGGGGGGGGGGAACAGACCGCAGCGACTACCCCCGGTGGTGCATCTCATCCGCATCGGATAAAACAAATCCGGTCAAATCTCTCAAAGCCTGAATTAGGTGTAAGTCACAGAAGATGCACACACACAAGATGCACACACACACAAAAGGAACACTGTTAGCCGCACTAATTAAGCTTCGCGCAGTCGGAGACGGTGTGTGATTACAGGCGACCAATTGTGTGATAGTCGGTGAACCTGAGCTCTTGGACTCCGCAGTCATCGATCTCAGTCTTGTTTTGTATTTTTTATATTTCTCGTTAATTTAACCAAGAAATGTTCTTCAATGCCCGTAAATATCTCTTCTGGCCTTCCACATCCAGTAAACCACAGCCGTCCACCTCTGCTTCATGGTGATGGTGACTCGGATTACACTGGGCAGCTGATGTTTTTTTAAGTGTTATTAAAGTGAAAATATTTTACAATTAATATGCAGTGAAGTGTTAAATTATTCATTCTCAAATGTCGTAGGCATTATTTGCAAGTAAAATAATTATATCGAGTTTGCTGAAAATCTGTTTTGTCACAATGCATTGCTTAACTCCCTATAGATTCAAACCCAGGTTGGGGAAAGATTCATCATCACTTCGGGGTGCATTAAAAAAATAGTACCGCTATGTGTGACGTCAACTACCCCCGCTTATTCAACTCGCGTATTTTATCCGAAAAAAACATTCGCACGTTCACGCGCAGGCAATGTTTGTACGGAGGCGTTTGCCCTCGTGACACCGGATTTGGGAAGGAATTTGACCGAATCGAACAGGAGGCTCCATTCATTGGACCGGCTTGCCACAGCCCGGCCAGGAACGGTGGCAACATTTCACCAACGTGACGGCGCTTCTCTTCTCGCCGTGACCCCCCCACCCCCCACCTTGAAGGTGGAGGTGCCGTAGAGCTTGGTGGTGTGCACGGTCTCTGGGGAGACGTTGGTGATGTTGGTGATGAAATCCTCCAGGTATTTGCAGGACTGCTCCAGGTGGGTCGTGTTGATGATGATCTGCACGAGCTGCGGGGAGGGACGGCAGACGCGGAGACAATCGGCGACGTTGTGCTCACGTGCGCGCGGGGAAGGCATCGGACCGTGCGTCCGCACACTTTTTCTAAACAGCCCCCCCCCCCCTCCCCACCACCCCCCACCCGTCTCTCTCCCCCGCGCTCTGAGGCCACATGTCGGCAGCGAGATAAAGCTACGTCTCAAGATGAACATTTTTGATACGGCGATTCGTTTGCATAACAATATCCTTCCCAGGAAATGTCCATTGGCTCAGTCAAAACATTAGATGTATTTAACTTAAAATAACCAATCAATGGGTCTGCCACTTTAGCCAGACGGCATTCGCCCCGGACACAGAAGTAAGAACAGTTTATTAGTGTTACCAAAAGGCACGTTTGCATAACAGCAAAAAATATACAGGACTTAGTTTTCTTCTTCTGAAAAATTAGTTTCAACATTGCGACCGACTGGCTGTATTAAAGGAAGACTTTTTCAAGTGAAATTCCACACACACGCACACACACACGCACACACGCACGCACACACGCACGCACACACACATACGAAACTGTTTCAACAATGTCCAACCATTTTATACGTGCGCTGCTTATTTAAGTGCTTGGCACTCAGCGCATCTGTTTTAAACATCGGCGTGGAATATTATTACTCTGCTCTTGGGACGGCTCTGAATTGCATTCCTTCCTGCAGATACCCCAAAGGTGAACCCGAGAGTAATACCTGCTGATGTACCAGCAGGAAACCCATGAGCACTCAGCAGCCTGGCGGACAAAGCACGAGCAATGAAACCACGAAGCCGATGAAAGCTCAAGACGTCGACCTGTCAAGCCCTTTAATCAGCGCTGTTATTTTGCTGGATTGGTACAATTCCAATCGGGTGGCATACTTTAGCGTGGAACAAAAAATTTACGAAAGCACTGCTGATTGGGCCGCAGAATAATACATCAATCAACCTTAATCAGGTTTACAAAAAAAAACAGTGACTCGCACGGTTGCATAATGGTTTGAGCAGCCGTTAAGTGACAGCCCAAGTGTTTCAAAACGCGATACATTTCTTTGAATCCCCAACGTCAACAGATAAACACAGCCATCAGGCATGCTATTTCGAACTTGATTTGTTTGCACCTGTGGGTAGAATATTACTATCGGCATGATGTACTTCAGTACTTTGGAATCCTATACACACACGCCGTGCTCTGTGGTTGACCGCTAATCACCTTATTCTGCAGCCACTCGGGAGTGGAAGCAGTGATTTCTGACACACGCGTAATGGTGCAGTGACTAGTGCACTGCACTATGAACCCAGTGACCAGAGTTTGATTCCTGTTCATGCCCAACATCAATGGCGAATATCTAAAATGGTTCCGAGGCTCCCTTAGGTCGACTCAGCCTTGTAAAATTGTAGCTGATGTGGTGTGCAGACACCAGACAAAAGTCAGCTGTGTGCGGGACTGGGGCATACCACCCTACCCATGTGCCATTACGTTCCAAATCGGTGCTCACAGTGTCGGCGATTGTCGTGCACAGCAGGCTGTTGTGGGCTGCTGTGGGGCTGTGTACTGGACAAGAGTGAGCAGTGCGGAAAAAGGCATGGTTACATTGTACTTCTATGCTCCCACATCTATACTTCCTGCCTCCAACCTGCAATGACCAGCCCGGTGAAGCAAAGTGAAATAAGCTCTACAGTCCCGCATGGCGTAGGGAGGCCCTCATCCAGCAGTGGATTGACAAAAGGGCTGTACATTCACACAGTACAAAAAGTTATTGTCTTAACCCGGGCAACAGCGGCAATGACTTGCTGTTAGCACATGTAGGATATGTCTATCTCATGCAGCAGCGGATTGACAAAAGGGCTGTACATGTACTTGTCCCAAACAGACACCTGTGAATGAGTGGATGGGACCCGTCAAAGGTAACTGCAGCACTGGGGGATGTCCGTCAGTGGCTTGTAGCAGCCGATTAATTTAAATGAGGATTTTTCTGATCGCCCACTTGACCATAAAACAAGATGAGCACAAGGAGAGAGAGACGCACCCAACGTCACAGCAGCAAAAGCAGTTCCCAACTCAAAACTAAACACTGTAATATTTACAAAACAAACTTTGTGTGACTAACCTACATTTATCTTGAATCCCCAGCCGACTGTCGATCCATGGGATGTCGCCAAGTCTCCTCTACCGCCCCCCGTCGTTTGGAACTCCCTACCCGACAGCCATCCGCTCGTCTGGAAATGCCTTCCCCAGTCATCAGTGCTGTCGACTCCTTGCCCGCACTCAAGTCCAGGGCTCAAGACCTTCCCTATATTTTTCCCTGCCATCCAACTGATTGTCTCGATAAAATAAATAAGTCCATTGTTTCGAGGCAGGGTCTCGATATGCGGATGCATTTAGATTCGATACAAATTAAAATTGTATTGTATAGAACTCAATAAACTATTAAACTATTTTACCAGGTAATGCCCACTGAGCTATATAGCTCTTTATCAGAAGCAACCTGGCCACAAATAATAGCTCAACAAAGTGGCTTATGGCATGGACATGTATAGCAGCCATATACTCCGAAACGCGTGATGTTGTTTCTAAATGTGGAAAGAAAACCAGAGGACCCCGAGAAAAATCCATGGGACCACAGGGAGAGAGACACGCAAACTCCAAATATACAGCAGCAGGCGTCGGAGTTGGGATCGAACCTACGACCTCCTGCATACCAGGCGAGGTAGTTAACATCTCCTAGCCACCGTGATGATGAGATGATAGAGACACGCAAACTCCAAATATACAGCAGCAGGCGTCGGGGTTGGGATCGAACCCACGACCTCCTGCATACCAGGCGAGGTAGTTAACATCTCCTAGCCACCGTGATGATGATGAGATGATAGAGACACGCAAACTCCAAATATACAGCAGCAGGCGTCGGGGTTGGGATCGAACCCACGACCTCCTGTATACCAGGTTAGGTCGTTGTCATCTCGCCACCGTGGTGCCCCACTGACCTCGAGTAGCCGAGAGTTCGGTTCTCAGCCAAAGCTGACATCATCACCAGCGACGGGTTACCCTCCCCCAGCCTTCACCCACCCATACTGGCCAGCATGGTGAAGTAGTCATACAACCCCAGCGATCGACACAAAGTGGGCGGGGGGGGGGGGTTACAAACATAGAGGAGATTTGGCTAGAAGTTCTAAATTGATTGAGGTCTCGTGCTCCTAAACCGCAACAGATATTGGATCCCCATCATCAGTGAAGCAAAGTAATTCACTGGCCGTGGATTGTGACGAGACGGGTTGATGAAATACCAAAAATATCCAAAGCTCGATAACGATTACTAGCGCAACGTACAAGCTGTTTGCCATCTATACAAAGTCACTGCCGGTGTAACCTGTCCGGCAGGTCACAGCTTGGGCGTCAGCCAAGTAGATCGCAGAGCAGCAACAATAAGTAATATTTAAAAAAAAAATACGCTTTAATGAAATGTATCGTATTAGTAATGGAAAAACTCCATGACTCCGGAAAGTGGCCCCGAAGCTTGCCATAACATAAGGGACCGTGGTGATTTACAGCCAACGTCAGTTGAGCGTGGACAATTAGACCCAAGCCGAAACATAACATTTCTAAAAAATTGTTTAAACATCTTTTTTTTATATTTTTATGATAGAATATAGTATTGTCATCAGTATGACATAAGTATACCAAGTTTGCAGTCGATACCACATTTGGAAGTGGGTTAAAATTGAGTTACAAGATTTGAGGATACAACAACAGACAGAGTGAGTTAATAGAAAGCGTGTAAAAAAAAATACGCACAGTTATATCTACTTCTGAGGTGGAGCGGTGGCGCAGCGGTTAGCCCACCGCCATATGAAACCCAGCCACCTTCAATTCCTGGCCACTGCTAACATTGTTGGTGAGTGTCAACCAAACCGCAATGACCAGCTTGGTGAAGTATAATCAAACGATTCCCACGGCCGACACGACACCGGGAGTGGACTGACCAAGGACTACAAATAGATGACGTCACCGTGCTGCTCTATTTAAGACCGGGAGCAAGTGAAGGGCTTTACCATTCTGGCAAATTGCCCGATGATGTTGGATGTAATTACCAGCGAAACGTCGTACTCAAAATGTGATGTTGATTCACTCTTCAACACACCGGTGGGCTAAAGTAGTGAACTATTTGTCTTTTGTAAACGTGACATTTTTTACTGTTTGGCCGTGTCGGGTGGTGGAGGGTTACGACACATTTATAAATAACGCGATCTAACCCAAAAACCTTTATTATGAACTAGCTGTACTACCCGGCTTTGCCCGGGACTTGGATCAACCACGCCCGGCCGCCTTTGTCTCCCCAGTGGCGATGTTCACACACCACAGCAGTTACTCGTTTGAGGCTGAGTCGACCTAGGGGAGGCCCAGGACCGGTTGAAATAATCGTCACCGGTGGTGGTGGTGGTGGGTTCGTAGCGCAGCGCGCGAATCGCTACGCAGTCACTGCCCCCCCCCCCCACACACACACAGGATAAAGATCCCCCGTGTAGCCTGTGAGACTGTAGGGGGCAAGTGCTGTTAGCGAGAACCTATGAAGGCCGGCATGGCACACGAGGGGGTGGGTGGCCAGTACCATGCCTGGCTGCCTTTGTCCCCCCTGTGGCGATGTTCACACATCACAGCAGTTACTCGTTTGAGGCTGAGTCGACCTAGGGGAGGCCCAGGAGTGGTTGAAATAATCGTCACCGGTGGTGGTCGAGAGCGGGAATCGAACTCGGGTCGCCGGGTTCGTAGCGCGGCGCGCTAACCACTACACTACATGAGCGGGTCACGTGACAGATTTGACGTCACAGCTCACTTGCCGTGCAAAAAGAAATATGCATTATTGAGCTCCCCCCCAAAAAAAAGTGTATTTGAATAATTATTGCATGGTGTACAGTCTGGAAAGTACCCACATGGCAAATTTTAAGTTTGTTGCATGTCGGGAACTACATTAAACATTTTGTACAGACA